TTTAAAATTGGGAAGAGGTGGAAATCTATCGATACGAGATCTGGTTAACACGTAGGACGTTCAATGAGCCACAAAAATGCATTGAAGCTATGCGACAAAACACAAGTGCATTGTAAGACAGCCGTCTACGAATAACTGTCAGGCCTCGTCATGGGGGATTAGCTATTGGGAGCTAGCGTTGAAACAAGAGGAGAGAGCTGTGAGGTCCTTACGGTTTCTTCAAGCAAATGTGCCGAGGACCAAGACCCAAGGAGTTATACACCCCCACAGCTCTACTCGTATCACATTAACAATTACTTTGATGTTGTAATTTCCGTCTTTGTTATCTGCCACGGGCCGTCAAAGGCTGTATAGAACAGTTTCAGTTTTACCTAACAAGTGTTGATTTAAAAAAAAAAATTACAGTTTTAGATGATGGTCAAAACCTGCTCTAGCTGGTAATAAAACATAATATCATTAGAACAAGGGCCGGTGCGGACGTACCCGCCGACTTTATCTATGATTACGTAATATACTGTTCCCGTGAATGAGCTCGCCAAGGGGCAGCCGTAATGGCAGATCAGTGGCGATAAAAGACGCGAATACTGGTCTTGCGACTTTCGAATTTTAGAATTTCCTTGGTAAAGTTTAATTTGTGAAAAATATAAAAAAAGTATAACGAAATATATGCACTGTTATAATTGTAATACACGGTAAGTAACTTTTTCACGACGTTTCGCCATTATATTCTCACGCAGTTGCCTAAGCAGATTCACCCGTGAAGATCCGGGTTAGAATAGGTCTTCAGCAACCATTGCTTGCCGTAAAAAGCGACTAACGGGATCGGGTGGTCAGGCTCGCTGATTTGGTAGATACATGCCATCGTATCCCAACTGCATGGATCGATGCTCATGATGTCAATCACTGGATTGTCTGGTCCAGACTTGATTACTTTCAGACCGCCGTCATAGAGCTGGAATATTACTAAGTGCGGCGTCAAACAACAAACCAACCAACCTGAGCAGATTAGTATACTATTGGCCATTACTGGGCTGATCTTTCGGGAGTTATTCGGGAGGATAAATTTAGAATCTCAGAAAACTGAAACCACCACCTTAGTGTACACTATGTATGCATACGGATAAGGGTGTACTGTACATCATTCATAGGTGATAGCTTGGGCATTCCACGTGACGAGCAAACGCTTGTCCCTGTTACATACATTTATGCATTAACAACCTGAAGCATTTTCCTCAATGTTCCCGGTATTACCAATGGTGGTTGGAGAGTGTGACTAATGACATTTGGGCCCGACGTCTCTTTGTGATGCTGGTGATAGACACAAGGAAGATATTACTTTAGCTACAGAGCTCAGCTGGTTAATTCTGCGATGAATGTGTCTGTTCTGAATGTGTCATGCGCTACTAGTGAGGTGACAAGTTCTTTCAGAAACTAATCAACCGATAGCACATGTCAAAAGCACCGCCACTAATTTAAAGTCCGCATAAGACATGTTTGACACGTAAAAAGATATTACACTTTGGCAGAAGTTAATCACTCACATTCTTTAAAAAAGTGATAGGCTTTGTCAGACTTCAAACAATCTTGAAACGTCTTCTTCATTGATTTCAGGTACAGGAGACAAAAAACCGTCAGTTTCCTTTGTTCGCGTCTGACATCTGATGACATGGACGTCTTGTAGCAACTACAGTTCTAAGTCGCGATCCCATCACGGCCCTTATCGAGCAGGTTAATTGAAAAGAGCGAGATAGTATGGTTAGCGCCGCTTTTGGCAATATTCCAGCAATATCACGGCGTGGGAGTCAGAAATGTGTACATATTATATCAAATTGGAGAATCGCACGGGGCCTTCGGCGTGACGAGCGAACCTATAACTCACCGTCACTGTTTATAAAAGGTCAAGTTGACATATTTCTCCCCTGACAATATTGCAAATAGAACGCGGGCGTGTTTCACACGGTTATTAGACCCGTATGGGGAATCGACCTCGGGACTTTGGCATGGCGAGCGAACGCTTTTCACCGCGATTAAGTTTTAGAGGGCAGGCTGACGTGTTCGGCGCTCATTGATTTGTCCTGTGCCAGTGGGGTTCACACAGTGTACACTTTTGCTACAAACCATTATATGATGATAGTATTTAGTATTTGCGTTTTTCTTTGTCACATTGGACAGACTGTATGAATGTTCTGGCAAAACATGAAAAGTAAAGTATTTGTCTCCACAGTTCTCCAGTCTGGGACGTGTTTTATCTGCTGTACTTGTAATATGAGGTGAGGTGAAGAGCGGTTAACCGTCGCCAGAGTATTGCACTTACACGCTTCAAAAAAAGAAACGCAAAGGTAGATTTTTAGTAAATTTATTTTACCTAATAAAGTCGATATATTTAAATTTAGTATCATAGATACAAATATGAAATTTTGGAGCTCGATAGTCACATGTTGTCGTTGTACAAAGGCACTGAAAACAGTTCATTGTCATGTCACATAAGGCCACAAGGTAGCGCTGAACTCGTGTGACCCCGGACAGCAATCACTGCTTTGCATTTCCTCGGCACTGACTGGAAAAGTGTACGAATTCTGTCCTGCGGAATTCTGCGCCATTTGGCTTGTTACGCATCGGCCAGTTTTGGGAGTGTCTGCGGCGTGTCCTGACGTTGACGTACACGTCGATCGAGTTCATACCAGAGGTGTTCGATTGGGTTGAGATTTGGAGATCTCGACGGCCAGGGCAAGGCGTTGATGTTAGCATTATGAAGGTAGTCTACCGTGACACGAGCTGTGTGCGGTGGAGCGTTGTCCTGTTGAAACAGCTTCCTCTTGCGGTCTATGATTGGAAGAAGGTGAGGTTGATGAATTTGATTCATGTAGCGATTTGCTGTCAACTTTCCCTGAACCACAACCAAGTCAGGTCTCGTGGTGTAGGATATGGCCCCCCGCAACACGACACTACCGCAACCGAAATTGTCGAAATCACGTACACAATGTGGGATAAAACGCTCATTTCGACGACGATAAACACGTTGTCTTTCATCTAGCCGGTGAAGAAGAAATCGTGATTCATCGCTAAACCACACTCGTCTCCATTTTCTCAAATTCCAAGGCTGTAAGGTATGGCACCAACGCAAGCGTCGCTGTCGATGAATCTGTTGCAAAACAGGGACGATAATTGGTCTTCTGGGTCGGATTCCAACCTCGCGAAGATGGTTCCTGACAGTCTGGTCCGATATCCTTCCCAAGCCAAGGATTCGTCCTGCAGTCTCCGTCGCTGTGGCAATGCAATGACGTAGGAGGGACAGTCGAATGTAGCGATCCTGTGCAGGGGTAGTAACTCTTGGTCGGTCGGTTCTCGGACGGACTGCAGTGGAATTGAACTGTGTGTATCGGTCACAAAGGCGGTAAATGGTGCTGTGGTGGACGTTGAAGTGTCGTGCAACAGATGACTACGGTTCCCCCCTTTGGATACGTCCTATGGCGATGTTCCGATCATCTTCCCGAGGCAAGAGAGTTAACTGACTTTAAAAGTCCAGTTTCCACCCTTGCCGAACTAGGCTGGAATTCCTGGACTCGATCGTAGCGCCACGATGTCCTTTCTATGCCTCTCCTATTGACCAATCAGATTCCACCTCTCGTATCACTTGCATTTGCTTCAAACAAAACGGTGGCGCCCAGTCAAGACGATCTGATTGATAATCAAGATCTATATTGTGATAAAACGCGTCTTACATCACGAAGTGCATCAAATCACGTGAGCACCTTGATTAAAAGCATGAAAAGATTTAGACAATATCTGTTGACAACGAGTTAGCGGTGCACATGCTTTGCAAATCCTGCAGTCGACCGAAATCTGCATGACACTTTACGAACCGGATTTTGATTTCGGTGCGCGATTTTGATTGGACTATGCCTAGACTCGTTAGTCCAGCCAAAATGTAACTCCATAATACCAGCCTAGTTCGGCAAGGGTGGAAACTGGACTTTTATAGTCAGTTAACTCACTTGCCTCGGGAAGATGTGTTCCGATCGGCAGCGCTGAGTCTCGGCAATTTCGAACTTGTTGACAATTGAATGACAAATCATTGGCTTATGCTTTCCCTTTTATATCCACTACCACGAGTTACGAATGCTATAACTTGCACGTGCATTTTGTTTTACTGTTTCCCCCATGACATTTTTTAACAAGTGTTTAAGTTTAAGACATTGCAAATCGACAATGGCTGCGTTTTGACGCACCGTTTGTCGAATATCAGGCCACCGACATTTTCCAATAACATATAACCAATCTATATACCGGATTTCTTGTGTAGTTAGATTTAATGAACTGCACACTACCTATGCGTTTCATTTTTTGAAGAGTTTATATAGCGAAGTGCATGCATGCACTTGTGTGTGTCTGCTTCTACTAGTCTGGACTAATGCCGATTTATACGTGCTAGCCCACTGAGATGCCATGTCGCAGTTTAACATGAATTCCCAACTTAGACACAGTTTACTGACTCCGAGCCGACCAGTCCTTGTATTAGCCCCTTAATACCGAGGGCCAGGCAGGGTAACAACAAGCACCATCTTTTAACGTCTTTTGGTATGACGCGCCCGGTAATCGAATCCCGAACCCTCCGCTCTCCGAGCAGACGCTCTACCACGAAACCACTGAGGCGATCTGTACCTGTCATAACCTGGAAGAGTTTGTCAATGCTCTATGCCATGTTATATCTGATGTCTCCTGAGCCAAGCGAATTTGTTCAGTGAATGAGTACCAGCAGGGGAAGATGGTAATGTGAGTATTAACCTTCTAGCGCCTCATAGGCAACTTCGGTCGTAGACTCCCCAGGGAGCTGAGAATGACATTCAAAAGCACAGTGATCCATTGGGCGGGATAATAATACTGTAGCGCTTTGAGCAAACACTAGTGTGATGCATCTAGCGCAGTATAAATATACTTATTATGTATTATTATTAACAGGAAAACTCACGCACTAAACAGACTAAAACAGAAGGGACTACCTGTGACTCGGTATGGTCGTAGTGGCGCCTTGCACGTCGTGACGTCCTTGATCGGTCTGCCTGCGTCATCAAGACACTGACACATTTCCTGTCCGGTGCTGCCCTCTGGGCTAAAGGCGTGCTCCTGACAGGGTACGCATGCGTGGAGCCCGAACTGAGACTTGTACGTATTTTCCGGGCACTCTGAGAACAAAGCCTTTCGTTAAAGTAATGCATGAATGCATGTTACGGAATACTGATAAAATATACAACGTCAAGAATAACCAGTCTCGATGATTATCCGCCGAAATCATTATGCGTAAAAGGACAAACAGGGGTGAAAATTATATAAATGGATCCCTGACTCCAGGTGTTCGCTGTATGCTGTTACGTTCAAAGTCACTTACACACAACGTGGCATTAACTACAGAAGAAAAAAATGATTGATATTTTGATGAAGGTTATTCTGAAAAAAATAATGGCATATAGGACAGGTGGTCGACTTCAGCATAAACCCTTTCCATATTCATAAGAAATCTCGACTAAAAGCAGAGTCCGTTGTACGATTCCGACTACATCCTACGAAATCACAATCAAATAGTGACGATACCAGGTGTTCGCGAAGAGGTGAGCTTATCCTGCTCCACCTGTGGCATTTGTCACAAATACATGCAAAGACAAGTAAATGTTTCGCAGAATTAAAAACAGGAACTTATGGTAAAAGTCAAAATATGGAATTGCATCGGACACCATTTAGTCACTGATGTGTCATATTCACTCAATTCACACATAAGTTTGTTATGGTCAAATAAGTGTTCCAGCAGAATAATAACATACAGGTGGAAGAATGCTTATTAAATGTAATTAAACGAATATAATATTGGCGATGATAACCGACAAATGCGACACCCCGGTTTCGGTATGGATGTGGATATGTCATATGATTGAAAACTAATTTCTTTCTGTTTGTTGGTAAAGAGGTTATGATTGTCTTATTCAAGAATGACACGACTCTGGTGAAAGGTCTTCATAATCATAATTATTTTTGTTTAGAAAGACTCTGTCAACCATCCAACAACGATACAATGATAAATTTTGCAACATTTCTAATGTACGTGTTCTCAACACATACACAAAAAAGTATCAATAAGGTAACTCTCAGATAAATATAATGTAAATGTATTTTGTACAATGGGTCGAATGGCCTTATATAAATAAATCTGTCTGTCTGTCTGTCAGTGAATGGTCTTCCGAATGGAAATATTAAGTAAGCTCAAGTTAAATGACTATTTACTTGTGAAACATATATCTCCTCTGACCTCCCTGTTTTAAATGGAATAAAGTATAACTGCCAATTAGCATTGGTAATTGGAAGGCCTGCCAGAACAGACTTTGTATTATGGCCAGCCTAACAACATGTCTTATCAATCAATCAAGTTTATTTCGTAATACAGGCCACATGGCCCAAAATACAGTTGTAAGATAAACCATATTTAAGTTCACGTGTCCAGAGTGTTCCCTCTTTGACGATCTCATTTTTAAGAATTTACATAAATATAAAGCTATCAAGGGTAGTACATTAATATCACAGGAGTTAAATAAAGTTGCAAACGTAATATTACTTTCTAATAGACATCGTATTCATCCTCTACTAAACAAAGGTCACATTCTTTACGTATAGATTCAGTATGAGGTATATTTAACATTACCTTTTACGAATAATGTTGACTCGAAAGTTGTGAACAAATATTCGAAACTTACACATTGCTGTAACTAATCGTTTGTCTCTGAGTACAGTCATATGTAATTCGGGTTGCAGAAAGGATTTTATATTTGCATAATGAACTCCAAGCTGTGGTGCCATGATTGGAAATAAATATCTCTTAAGCGTCTTCTAAATGCAGATAAAAACATGTTCTTTTCACTGACATCTTCAAATAACCACACAGACGCACAATCGCTATTAAATAACATGTGTCTCACATACGATGCCCAATTGACTTTTCAATTCTCATCTAATACTTTAAGCATAACATAACTTTGGAAGGGGCATCGACTTGTATTCATTCGCAAAACCTTAATGTCTTATGTCGGGGATGGATATCATATAATGATAGCGTGTAAGTGCTATAGAAGTGTACGCAGGGAGACATTGTCCCCATACTGTGTTTAGAATCCCTCTGTTGATACTGTTATCAGTCTAGGAAAGATGCAATTGGTAATATCGATTAACTGATGAAGCAATAACTATCAACCACATCAATCGACTCAGATCTGGGCATCGTTCCGTTCCTCGGGGATCATTGGGGCCACTCGGTTTACATTACCCACGCGGCGCAATTGAGTAGTGATATTGCATAATTGCTCTTTAAATAAAACGCCATACCGATCGGTCTTTCTGCTTATAGTTCGTACACCATGTCGGTCGATTTGGGAATAGACTTTTTGCATTGTTTATATGAATTAGGTATAAAATTTGCATACGTCATGCACGACTGTCCTCAGTTTCAAATATGTAATGTGACAGTTATGTAAACGAATGAAACTAGCGAATCCTGATGCAATATGGATTCTTCCCGATTCTGACCTACGAGACTGATGTGAGCCTAGTGCTCGAGGATATGCCCTATAGATGTGGCAATGTTGAATCCAACAAACCTCGACATCTGCCCCGGCGCATTGTCCAGCCTGGTGCACAAACACACGTGACTGACCCGGAAGTAATAGTACTTGACCTTTCATCACATGGCACACAGGGACCGGGGCCAGAGCTTGCTTTGTAGAAGCCCAGTGGACATGCTGCAAGACAGAAGACAGAGAGGATATCTGTAACGTTCTCTCATGGAAAAGTGAGGTGAGGTGAGATGAAATGGGGCGTCGCGTTCAGGATTATTGTTCTTTTTGTTTGTTGTTTAACGCCGCACTGGCAATATTGGTGTATGACGGCGGTCTGTAAATAATCAGGCCTTGACCAGACAATCCAGTGATTGACATCATGAGCATCGATCTACACGACTTGGATACGATGACATGCATCAACCAAGTCAGCGAGCCTGACCACCCGTTCCCGTTAGTCGCCTTTTACGACAAGCATAGTCGCCTTTTACGGCAAACAAGGGTTGCTGAAGACCTATTCTACCCCGGATCTTCACGGGTCTATTGTTCTTACATGAAGACGTGCATACACACACACTCTCTCTCTCTCTCTCTCTCTCTCTCTCTCTGTGTGTGTGTGTGTGTGTGTGTGCGGACTTACGTTATTTGATTTACGCTATAATTGACATTTACATGTCTACAAACGTTGGCGTTATTGACGTTGTGATGTACGACTACCTCCTTATGTTACGATTGACATATCGAGCATTTCTAACCACTAACCCAGTTGTGGTTGACGTTGTGATAGAATTATATGTACGTACGACTATATACGTCGATGTGGTTGGCGCTACGAGTAACATAATGAGTTTGTACGTTGAGTACGTGTATGGGTGTAACATGATGTACGAACGACTACAGACGTCGGTGTGGTTGGCGCTACGAGTAACATAACGAGTTCGTACGTTGAGTACGTGTATGGGTGTAACATGATGTACGTACGACTACAGACGTCGGTGTGGTTGTGCGTGTACCCAGGGAGACATGCACAAGAATTGTCTTTGTCCACTTTGCTGAACGCTGGACACAGTGGACACTCATCCCCTCCTGACCAGGAGGTCACGTGACATGCCACATGCAGGGAGACTGCAAAATAAATATGGTCTTGTTATAACTAGTATTTCATGAAGGGGTCGTAACATTTCTGTAAACGTATCATACATAAGCAATTAGAATTTTGCGCTTTGAAGAGACACAAATAATGGAAGTTGCACAAGATATAAATGTCAAAAAAAAGAGTAACAGGTTTTAGCCTGGCAAACATACTAAAGACGGATAGAGGCTAGTTCTGTAAACGTATCAATAGTATGACAGAACAGCCCCTTCAGTTTCTCCGGAGGGAGTGGCTGCTTGTAACTTTGAATGACCATTGTGGAAATTTGTGAAAAAAGTAAAACCACCAGCAAAAATGACATCTACTTTTTAAAGCAGGTACTTTTTACTTTGTTCTTCCTGAATATCAGATTGCCCCGTGAACTGTCAGGACTAATGTTGTTACTTCAGAACTGTCGGTGTCTGAATGACGGAACTGACACGAAATCTGAGAATGTTCCGTAACTGATTGATCTTCCAGGAAAGTTTAATCTCTCCTGTCGGAAAAGAGAAAGGGAGGGTTATACACAACATCCTCTTCACAGTATCATTGATAAGTTTTGTTCTTAAATGTTTCTCAGCTAAGATGACTTCAGACAGCCTGTCACATGTCTCAGTTCCAATGGAGCAAACTCGAAAAAGACTTGGATGTGTGGTTCGTTTTTCGAGAAACATGATATTTCATGAACTAAACTAAGCGGCAAGAGAAAGTATAGGTTGGCAATTTGTAATTTTCCTAAAAACAGCGATAACTAGTGGAAAGTGGGTATTGGGAATATGACTGCCCAGGAACAGGTACCAAAAGCACCTCACCCGAACACGCCACCTTTGACGGCGCTCGTGCGGTGACAAAAAATGGTGAAACATGTTTCCCGCATATGGCATAAACTGCACGTGCATGTTAGCGGTATGAAGCGTTCGTCTGCAGGGCATAACCACACGTGATGAAAGCACTCAAAAGAAATGCCACGACTGTCACAGGAGCAGAGAGAGAGAGAGAGACCCATCGGTATGGCCGAAATGGGGGCAACACAGGTCCAAATTGCCAGAAGGTTTGGTTGTACACCTTGACAGTAGCCAGGCTGATTCAACGGCACAGGCAGACAGGGAGGTCACAGGACAGGCCTAGAACCGGACGAGCCCGAGTGACAACACCACTGGAAGACGGTCAGACACAGCTCATTCACCTGTGAAACAGATTCGTAACGGCGACGGCGACGGCAGCAACAGCGTTGGGACATCCCATTAGCCAACGTACAGTACTACGACGACTTCGCGCTGCTGGTATCCGAGCGTATCGTCCTTTCCGAGGAATGGTACTGACTGCTCAACATCGACGCCTGAGACTGCGATGGGCGAGGCAGGTTCGACGCTGGCAAGTGAGAAATTGGCGTCGAGTGCTGTTTACTGATGAGAGTCGGTTTAACTTGTTTCGAAATGACGGCAGAGAACGAGTTTATCGACGCAGAGGGTAACGTTTGGCTCCGGCGTGTATTCGAGAGGTCCATCCATTCGGCGGGGGAGGTGTCATAGTGTGGGGCGGTACTTGTGGAGATCAGAGTGAGTGAGTGAGTGAGTATGGTTTTACGAGGCTTTTAGCAATATTCCAGCAATATCACGGCGGGGGACACCAGAAATGGGCTTCACACATTGTACCCATGTCGGGAATCGAACCCGGGTCTTCGGCGTGACGCGCGAACGCTTTAACCATGTGGAGATCAGAAGACTGATTTGGTGATTATACAGGGAAACCTGAACGCTGTGCAGTACAGAGACCAAGTTTTGCTGCCAGTTGTGCTTCCGTTCTTACAAAACCAACAGCAGGGGACATTGTTTCAACACGACAATGCCATGCCACATACTGCAAGGCTGACTCGGAACTTTCTAAACCAGCAGAACGAGTCTTTCTAAACCAGCAGGACGAGTCTTCTTGCAGGTTACAGAAAGCGTTTCAAATTCAGACATACACATCTTAAAACATATGAGAGAGAAATGCGTGATTATATACCACCGAACTTAATCACTCGGAAAAAAACACAAGCAGCAGATCTGTTGACTGTGAAATATAACCATATAGATAAACTTTCTAAAAACTCGGATTAAAAATATTTTTTGAAGATAGAATAATGTTATTTCAAATATGAAAATGTGCAGTGCAAATAAAATATATATCAAAATATATGTTTACAATATAAATCTAGAAACCATATTAGTTCCTTGTAAATTACGTTTTCTGTTGGAGAATTGGATCATTAATTCGCGTAAGAGTACGAGTGGGTGAGTAAGTATGCTTTTACGATGCTTTTAGCAATATTCCAGCAATACCACGGCGGAGGACAATTTACCTATGTCGGGAATCGAACCCGGGTCTTCGGCGTGATGAGCAAAGGCTTTAACCACTAGCCTACCCGACCGCCCCATCAGTAAGTATACGAGTTGTAGGTAACATACTATGACAGCCCTTGACGTCATGTGGAACGACTATCCACACGATACCGACGAGATGTCAATGTTCTGAGTGGCTCTGGGGGCACGGGCGGCCCAGTCGTCTAAGGTGCCGCGATTCGCTGAGCAGAGTTGCGTCCCTTGGGCACGCCAGAAACCTATGATTAGTGGTTCGAATCCCGGTTCGCCCCGATTATGTTTCTAGGTTTGTCAGCACCATACCCGTGCTCGTGGGTTTCACCGAAGTGGTAAACGTCTGAGACCTTCAACACTTCGGGCTTTCCTCCCACATTAAGCTGACACGCCGTGATATAACTGGAATACTGTTAAAAGCGGCGTTAAACCCAACTCACTCACTCACTCTGAGTGGCTCTTTTCAAACTTCTAAACATCGATTGTAAAAAAAGCCAATCGCAAAAGTGAGACAAAAGTCAAACTTCGAACACGGTTCCCGACATGTGCCCAGTGGGTTACAACAAGTGACGTGACATACATATTCATCGAAAAACGACGTTACACATCAAATCTAAACGTAATTGACGTTGAGAGTGGGCTTGACAAATGGGCCCCATATCTCTGGACTCTCGACGAAGTCGTAATTAACTGTCGCATCACAAAGGTGAATGGCCTACGGGAGTATCTGTCCTATTAGCACCTAAAATGATGTCTTATCAGACTCGAGCGATACCTCTTACGTGGGTGATGTATTTATGTTCTCGTGTTTTTTTCCCAGATGAACAATTAATGTGCCTGTGCATGTCTTTGTGATTGGTGCCATCTGTTCGCGAACACCTGTTGTCTTCACTACTTGATTGCCATTCATAAACATGATACAGTCGGAACCGTACAATGGAGTTTTTGAACCTGCTTTCTTATGAATATGGAAATGTTTTTTATCGCTTTCTATTTACATAAATTGAGGGGCAAAAGAAACGCCTCCAAATAAATAATGGTCGTCAGTTTTCAACAAATTTGCCAAACAGCAGTTGGGAACACATAGCTGGAATGCAACTTACCTATTCCCTGTGAACATGTGCACATGCTTCACGGGATTTGCGCAAAAAGTGAATTTTATCACTAAAAATGTAAAATGTGCACAAAGTTACCCTTATGAAATTCTGGTATGAAACATTAGCAGGATTGCACTCTCTCATCACATGAAACCGTATAAAACAACGAACATGTCTCGACTAACCGCAGAGAGAGAGAGAGAGAGAGAGAGAGAGAGAGAGAGAGAGAGAGAGAGAGAGACATCGGCAATTTGGAGCGATGCAGAAGCACGTTGTTAGAATCATGGGCTGCTTCAAGTGCACCATCGCAAGACTTGTCACACGTCACAGGCAAACTGGCAGTACTGCAGACAGCCCGAGGAGATGAAGACCCAAGGTCACGACCCCACAGGAAGACCACAGGAATTTACGGGTGCTTCACCTATTGTCCAGATTCCTCATGCAGGTGGTAGTGTCATGGTCTGGGTGGCATTTGCAGGGGCCAGAAGACAGATCTCATCATCATCGATGGAAATCTCACTGCATGTCGTTACATTCATGAGGTTTTGCTGCCTGTGGTACTGCCTTCCCTGCGACGACATCCACGGACGCTGTTTCAGCAGGTCAACGCCACCCCTCACACAGCTCGAGTCACTAGCGACTTTCTGAACGCCAACAACGTGTCCGTATTACAGTGGCCAGCATGATCACCGGATATGTCGCCCAAAGAGCACCTCTGGGACCAACATGGACGCAAGATTCGGAAACGTTGAGGGATGCCTTGGCAATTGCCCTGCAGGAGGAGTGGCGTACGATCCTTAATTAGGATGTCAGGAGACTCGTGTACTCAGTTCGACGTCGTGTTAGGGCCTGCACTGTTTCTTGAGGGGGTCACATCCAATACAGAACCATGTGTGTAGCACTTTAAAAGAAATCGACGTCGATTCTGCTGGTGTGATCGAATACTGGACAGTGCACCTAGCATGCTAAACGTGTCTGCAGAACTTCAAGTTCATGGTTTTTGATCTTGTCATTTTCAAATACCCTTTTTGAATAATTGCTTTTTTATAATAAAACATCAACTTTTAAATTTTTGCGTCTGTTTTGTTTTAGACCAGAAAATTGTTTCGTGGCGTTTCTTTTGCCAGTTAGTATATTTATGTCAGCCTTTTACAAATTCATTTTGTCTGCTAAATCCCCATGTTTGTGATGACGTTAATACCAACTACATTTTTATAAGACGCTATCAATTGTCTTGTAGAGTATTTGTTTCCTGGTGATTTAAGAGTGTTGAAATAATTTACAGTAAAACCCAGGTATTCGCACGGTACAAATTCCGGCAAAATCAAATGGACAATTACAGTACAATAAAGTACGGTTATAACGAACTCAAAGGGACTACTAATTTTAGTTCGTTATAACCGTAGTTCGTTATAAGCATATAAACAGTATAACAACAGCAAATAGTCGGGACCAAAAAAGTAAGTTCGTTATATCCGTCAGTTCGTTATAAGCGTGTTCGTTATAACCGTAGTTTATTGTATTCGGTAAGGGACTCTTTGTTGTTGACAAATGTCCTTTGTAATCACCTAGCGGAGACCCGGTAAGGGCAGATCCCCAGCTCCTAATTTGCAATATTCTTTTCGAAATAGGCTATTAAAGTCGTCGGTTGGTCAGCTCAGTGACAAAACGGTATCATACCCTGATAGTTGCTCATAATATCAGCCACTCGGTTATTTTCCAATCGCCTTGACAAAACTGCTGGAATATTGCTGATGCGGCGTTTCCAAACACAAAATAGCATGCATCTTTTAAATATTTAGGCAAACAAACAATTTCGTCCGGAAAGTGGATTTTGCGAACTGGGTTCTGGATGAGCAGTGTTTACCACAATTAGCTTTGCGCGGACAAATGACGTCAACATCCCACGGTTCAAATAGATTTTCATCAACACGTGCCACCACAATACGATATCTACAGAGTTCACGAACTAATAGCCCTTGGTGCTACTAATTCCCCTGCGCTATTTCGAGAAACGAAATCAGAACTTCGGTCACGAAGCCAAATCCCCTACATTGATTAAATCTATTTAACAAATGATATCATCTCACAATATACACCTGCTTAAACCATAGCGCTTGAACCCCTTTAGGTGAGGCACGTTACTAACGGCCGAGAAGACATTTTTCCTTTGATAAAATTTGTAATCCGACAAATTGAAATCTTTGGTGAATAGAAACAACCTCAGCTGTTGAAAACAAACCAAAAATGCTGTTTTGTGAATCGTATAAACTGCCGGGGAAAAAGTATGCATCCATGTCTGATGGTCGCTAAAAATGAAACATGAACTGGCTATTCGATGGTGATGTATTTGCTACGGGTATCCTAGATGTGTTTTGGACTTTACGTTGGCAGTGTTTTTGCGACTGTTGTTACGTTTTATTAACGTTTGTAATGTTTTGGTCAAATCCAGTTTTCAAGTGTATACTTTCTTTTGCGTGTCAGTTTATGTGTCCAAAGTAAAAGTAAAAACAAACGTTCTGGTGATAAGGCTTGGATGAGGATTATCCTGTTGGTGTATAGTGATATAGTGTGTAGTCTTAATGATATCAACACACAGGGCCAACGGCTGCTGACACCTTTCTGTTCACAAGGAAGCCATAGTCAACCGAGATTAAGTTGTTACCGTTATTTAATGGACAGCGCATATCCTGTGGATGAATGTCTCGGATGGCGATGTGAGCTGGCCACTCGCAGACCGGGCTTGAGTAACTGGAGGATTTGTTATCGTACCAATTCCTCAGCCAGACCAATCCACAGTCACACTGCCAGGGGTTGTCAAGCAGGTTCCTGGAAACACAAAATAACCACTCCTTGACCTGAGACTCATATACTCATATTAAGGCAAGGCCACCCATTTCCCATCTCCAACCTCAACCAGCAAGAGAGAGGGCGGCGTAATGAAAAAAACCCCCAAACCCCAACTGTTTTACACTAATTGTTTAACTTATTTTATGACTTGTTAAAGTTTAAAACACTTAGGACCATTAAATTAATTTATGACGTAGATTCAGCCGCTTTGCTTCGGAAACGATTTTTTAAGAAAAGACCTTGTTTTTTTATAAGTCTGAAAGGAAGTATTTTATTAATTACCATGAATGCATAATTTTCCACAGCGGCGGGGAAAACTAAGGGCGGGCGGGAGATGGGAAACTCAGAAAACAATACGTAAAGCCCCATGGACAAACATTTTTTCTGCTGAATATCACTATTGATTTAAAGATCAAAAAGAAATGTTTTAAACGAAGAAAAAAGAATCCCGTCTCATTACTCCATGTTTTATATTTATTTGGACGTCAAGCTAGCCATTATGACAGGTGTCGACGTCGTACCAGGAAGCATCAAGGTATACATATCAATCTAGAAAACTGTAGGACTTCAGTCTCATCTGATCTTTTGACTCCGATACGATATCTGTCTTCGTGAAGGTCTGACAACCTCACCCACACGAAGTCGCGTCTGGTGAACTTTTTAATCAGCCAATCAGTGTCAAGGCTTCTAAATTCTCTGTACGAGTGAGCGAAGCATTCGGACCAGCGTATCATATTTCTGTATCTCGAAAACGAAGTTAACCGGCCAATTCTGATTGTCAACAATAAAGGCCGCGCACTTATATTATTGTGGATTTTTTAAAATACTCTGTCGTTTCAGAGCGACATAGCATGAACACCCATTACAATCAAAGGAATATGTTTGTTGTGTTTCAGTTTTTGCATGTAAAAATCGAAAATTCAGCATGGAGACAAAAAGTAAAGGAAGACAAATCGATTTAGAAAGCTGACTTCTAATTAACCTGACGCGAGCAGTTCATAGATCTTCTCACAAAGGGATATCGTATCAGAGAAAAATATTTGATTTTAATGATATTTTCCCTAATTAATACCCGTCTGATCAGACCGATCAATAGCTACTGATTCGTATAAACTGCACTCGGCTGCCTGCGAGTTGTTTAAAGCCAGCCCTTTAGCAAGCGACTATTGACTATGTAAATCAGTGATTGAAAGCATGAGCCTTGAATCACGACATCGGTGTACGGTGACATACATGTACACTCAGCCAAGTAACAGTGCCAGGCTTCCAAATCCCCTACAGTAAACTACGGTTATAACGAACTCAAAGGGACCACTAATTTTAGTTCGTTATAACCGTAGTTCGTTATAAGCATATATACAGCATAACGTAAGCAAATAGTCGTGACAAAAAAGTAGGTTCGTTATATCCGTCAGTTCGTTATACGCGTGTTCGTTATAACCGTAGTTTACTGTATATCACTGAACTTACACTTTGTCCAGGTAGTGAAATGTCATCTGAAGTTGATGGGGGAGTGTCTTTAACATGTTCCCTTCTATATAACTGCAATGAAAGTCACAATATCACGTTAAAAGAGAGGCGTGTGATGCATAGGGAATTGCTCACCACTTATTCTAATCCTAACCCAACAAAATACAATAAAACACCCAAAGATTAACCGATTTCCATTTATGTATTGCATATTGTAACTGATAAAAATCTTGAACAATTGACTTGCCTTTGCATGCGTTTGTGACAGGTGCCACCGGTGGAGGCAGAATACGCTTACCTTTTCGGGAACACTTGGTATCATCGCAATTTAATAGTGATTGGCAAACACATGCTCATGATATAGTCGGACTCTGCTTTATGCAGATATTTCTATTCGATATAGAAAGGGTTTTGTCGCTTTATCAATTATCATTATTAGGATTATGGATTTTAATATACAGCACACTTTCGGCAACATTTGGATGCAATTATTAAATCACAGCACGAGCAATTCTGTGCTAAGCTAGAGACAGGAGCGATGGAGGTTGTGATTCCACTACTGATGTGATGTGTCAAGGGTATCATACTAGTACAGATAAATAATACACTGGACAATCGAGGATGTAACATTACTAGTAGCACATCCACCTTCTTCGTTAGTTACATCATCGATCCCAATTGCGTGGATCGATGCTCATGATATCAATCACTGGATTGTGTGGTCCAGACTCGATTATTTACAGACCGCCGTCATATAGCTGGAATATTGCTGAGTGCGGCGTTTAACAACAAACCAACCAAAGCTTCGTTAGTTTCATGTGATGACGTTCCTATATGTTCAGCAATAAACAGTGAAATAAATAGTTCTACTTACATTTCTCTCAGTTTCTCTAAACCACTTAAAGCTGACGGATGAATTATTGATATGTTGTTGTGAGATAAATATCTGAAAGTAAAATTACCACGAGCAAGTCAGAACACATCAAAGTTACTTATCAAATGTACGCTTTGATCTTTCCAATGTCTTTTATAATAATCTGAGTGATTCATGCGCCTTAATACCAAGTTACAGTTTTTACCATGATCCTGATGTGGAACATCACACTTTGACATTCAACGCCATTATTATAGATCAATGAAGATGTTGATGCATTATATCCATCACCTCGATAAGAAAATCTGAATCATTCTGACCGCCTCCGTTGAGCTCGGAGAGCGAAATGTGGGTCGTTCGATCCCCCGTCCGTGTCATACCAAAAGACGTTACCTTGCCTGGCGCACGGCATTTGGGAATAAAACAAGGACTGGTCGGCTCGGAGGCAGTATACTGTGTCTGAATGGGGTATTCGTGTTAAACTAGGGCATGGTATCTCAGTGGGCTAGTACAATAAAATCGGCATTAGGTCGGATTAGTACAAACAGACACACACACACACGCACGCACGCACGCAAGCACCCATCAGCCCACGCACGCACGCACGCACCCATCCACCCACGCACGCACGCACGCGTTTAACCCCTTTCACCTCACCTCACCTTAATCAATCTTTTGTTCCGTTCAAAAGACGACAACATGTAAGAATACAGTTATACTGAGCAGCTTACAGGTACGCAAGGCTTCTAAGGCTGGCTGTGGTGTCATGCAACTCTCGGACGTCGTTATACCGCGCATATCTGTGGAGGAGGCAATCAGGTAGCAGTCATCACATCAATCACTGGGAGTTAAAACACGTTCGTATTTGTATTATGGAACAACTTGTGCGAAACATGTTTTGCATAATGGTAACGAGTAGATGTAACAATTCCCTTTACGTACAAATAATGGTGACTCCATGTGTTCTAGGGTAGAATGCAAATGGTATAAGAGGCCCATGTCTTGTTCTGATCAATCAAAAATCAACTATATCCACCTGTACTGACCAATACCAGTACTACAACACTCATGTACTGACCTATAAACGAAATATAACCCCCTGTACTGACCAATACCAGTACTACAACACTCATTTACTGACCAATACCAGTACTACAACCCTCATGTACTGACCTATAAACGAAATATAACCCCCTGTACTGACCAATACCAGTACTACAACACTCTTGTACTGACCTATAAACGAAACATAACCCCCTGACCTTTAACAGTACTTATCAGTGTTCGAAATAAGCGTCTGTCCGTAGGCCCGGGACAGGTATATTTCGTGCCGGGCCCATAGTTTGTATGGGTACTTATTGCCTGCAGTAAATTTACGTGTGCATTCTTTTGGCACAATGTCATTCAGTTTTTTAAATGAGGGCCCCGAAGAGTTTAGTCAGGACCTGCAGCTTTTTAAGTCTGTGGGTCTTGATGGCAGCCTGGCAATTTTCATATATTTCAAACGCCGGTACTAATATAATTGTACTGACCAATATTATTACTGTAATTATCTGGACCGATCTATAACCGTTCTATTGTCATTAACGCTGACCTAAAACATTATTTCAAGCCCCTGTAACAGAACTTTAATCCCCTTATACCAGTGCTACAATTCCAAGTACAGGCTGATGTTAAACATCAGGTGATATTATGTTAGACATTAAAAAAACAGGACATTTGATGAATGACATATTCATATCGCAATGCTAAAAGCCATCATTCAGTTCGACGTGACTGTTTAGACTGGTATGACACCCTACTTACAGCCCTCTGAGTTTGGGAATCTTGTTCAGTGCCATCACTGGAAGAGCCTGGAATGCATTTTGCTCCAAATCTCTGCAAAAAAACCAGATGATTGATGGATTGACTGATTGGTTTTAGCGGCCGTCTAACATCAACGTGTTAGAACGTGCGTGTCTGTGACTAATTTATTGAAGCAATACCACTTTTCCATTTACCCAACCTTGGGTATTGTTTTTCTGTGTGCAGTTGCCTTCATGTCAGATATTCGTTTATAACTGACATTAGTTGCTGCGTATTTTTCTTTTCGCCTAACTTTTCTCACTGTCAGGGTCTTAATCTGTTTCACACCAGTTATTCTATATCGGGACGTGCAACGCTTTCTGTAAAATTTGTATTCAAATGTTTGGTAGTGAAGGCACGTTTTGAAATGCGGCTATTGTTTGAATCTGTGGTCTGAAGGGAAGATACATTTTGAAGACATGGTACATACGTGATGTATCCTCCTGTATTGACACCCTATTCTATTCGGGTTGATTTAAATAAATAAAAAAAAAAAATAAAAAAAATAAAAATAAAAAAATAAATAAAAAATAAATAAATAAATAAATATATAAATAAATAAATAAATAAATAAATAAATACACTTGTCATAGAGGCGGTGTTAATCAATTGAATCTGTACAAGAATAACGCTTATTCAACAAGTGTGATGTATGTCGACTGCTTGACAACAAGTATACTTACAAGTATTCAAGATTGCGCAGTTGGGAAAACGCTCTTTCGTGGACTGAGGACAAGGAACAATTCCTTAGTTTCCTGGAACATACATTACCAATTGCCACAGTGAGAATTGGCACGAACTGTCATGTTAAGTCGCGAAAGAATGTTAATATAAAAACACAAACAAACGCAATACGGAGATGACAGTTACAATGGCGTGGGCAGCTGTTTTGTAAGAACTGTAATTCTTGTATGGACAATATCACGATCACCTTACAAGCATGAGACAAGCTCAACATGAACCACACCTAAGCAAAGGTGCCTAGATAGTTGTGGTACCTCTCCACCATCAGCAACCTTCAATGTTGGTAAACAACTCTGAATCAGCGATCTACGATTCTTGAATAATTCTTCACAAGTGACAATCATTTGCGAAACCCGCCTCCCAGCTATTGCCTGGTTGGTTGTGTTGAGGCACTTGGCAAGTGTCAAGGTTCACATTATCGCTCACTGGTTTATCTGCTGTGTTCACAGAGGCCTAAACCCCACCCACTCACTCACTCACCTGTGTTCACTATAAGCATTCATGTGATATGACTTGTTTCAGTAAATGCATGCGAAGCAATACTTACAGGGTCACTAGATTGTGAAGGCCATTGAATATTTTGTGATTTCTCAGTTGGTTTGAGATCGGGTTATTCGACAGGTCACTGCAAAGGAAAATTACGTTTTCTTTAAAAATGCTATTCAATGGATAATTAAACATTAAAAAGAACACAACAATTATTGTCAATATCGTTATTGTGGGGGTTGCGGTGTTTAGTGTGTGCGGAGTGTGTGGGATACGTGTGGTGTGAAGGATATGTGGGTTAAACATGACATAAAACCTTCTTCCAATATTTTCTGGAAAAGAACTACTTTTTTCAAAAATTTCAGAACGTCAGGTCCTTAGCCAGGTGCCCTTGTTGTATCGAAACACCCAAAGTGGGTTCAAATAGTGTATAGTGCACGGGTTGAATACCCACTGACCCTAGACACCGCACCCAGTAAACTTTAAAAGAGTTGCACTGCAGACAAGATTTCAATCAAGTTATGAGATGACGATTCGAATTTCCATAAAAATCATCCATTATATCATGAACACCGGTTATTTTGTTGCTTTTAAAATGTGTAATGCTTCAGTAATGGCTGAACATTGCGTCTGATTCACAAACAACTGATATTCTTTGTGAGTGGTTCTATGGCCGGAAGTGATAGACCTTTCAGGACAATTACACCAGTTTTACATGAGGTTCGAGTAGCAGTTTTAATTAGACGTATATGTTGTTCCACATGCGAAAGCTGATGTGTGTGGGATAGAATACTCTTAGAAAATGATCTACGGCATTAGTATTGCCACTGGCCACATTGAAATAATTCTAAAACAGATGTTGATCCATTTAAAATCACATTACCTTAAGGGATAAACGTTTCTTGTGTCTTTTATAGTCTTATTTAACAGGCAACGATTTCAGCTAGAGAACACTATGTTAAGTTTGATAAGTACTCTTTTCATTGTGTTCAATACCTTGAATTGTCTGTAGATGGAGCTATTTCATAACATGTTATACGTTTTCATCCGAGCAAATAGATTGGGGTGTGGGGTATCCTATATAGCTAGTTGTTCGTATCTCAAAGGGTTGAAGAACCCGGTTCGATTCCTACACTGGTACATAGGTGCATAGTTCTGTTGTCCATCCGCCCAAATATTTGTGGAATATTGCTTATAGAGGAATAAAACCCAACTTACTCATTCATATCCTAGAAATAAGAACACGTATACGTGTTTAAACGTCTTTTTACGCGATACTTTTGTTCTGCTCAACTTGTATCCTTATATGGAGACCACATCCCCCCCTCCCCACTCCCCCCTCACCCACCACGTATGTATCATTGCACCAGCAGTTCTCACTGAGACTTTGTCGCTTACTGTTAACATTGAAAAGGGAAATGTTTCTGATTGTGTCTGTGGGAACGAACATATGCGTCTCACCACGATATTAATTGATGAACCGGTTATGGATGATTTACAATTAATATCTACAAAAAATGAATACTGAATTACTGGCTAGATGTAAGTTGGGATCAACACTGATTTGAACAGCATTTTGTTATACGGAACGTTGTGTGGTAGATAAGCTCGCAGTGACACTGACCTTAGGCGTTCACCACTTTGGTTAAAGCTACGAGTATGGGTATGATTTGGTTGGTTGGTTGGTTTGTTGTTTAATGCCGCACTCAGCAATATTCAAGCTATATGACGGCAGTCTGTAAATAATCGAGTCTGGACCAGACAATCCAGTGATTGACATCATGAGCATCGATCCACGCAATTGGGATCGATGACATGCATCAACCAAGTCAGCGAGCCTGACCACCCGATCCCGTTAGTCGCCTTTTACGACAAGCATAGTCACCTTTTACGGCAAGCATGGGTTGCTGAAGACCTATTCTACCCCGGAATCTTCACGGGTCGCATGGGTATGAGACTATGTATGAGAGATTATATGGGCATATTCGGACCATGATAATCAGATCGGATCCCGACATGTCTGAGGGTCGCAACTGGTTCCCGGAGCCCCTCTTTATATCATCGGGGACACGGGTGGCCCAGTCGTCTGAGGCGCCGCGATTCGCTGTGCAGAGTTGCGTCCTTTGGCCACGCCAGAAACATGATTTAGGGTTCGAGTTCCGGTTCGCCCCGACTTTGTTTCTAGGTTTGTCAGAACCATACCCGTGCTCCTGGGTTTCACCGAAGTGGTAAACGTCTGAGACCTGCATCACTTCGGGCTTTCCTCCAACATTAAGCTGACATAACCGGAATACTGTTTAAAGCGGCGTTAAATCCAACTCACTAATATTGTGCATGTATCGAAGAAAACGTTAAACACATACTCATAATCTCTGTTATTTCTGATCGTAAAACTGTATCCACTTGGACTCCTCGGCATTGATAGCGGGAAGGGGCTGTGGGGTAGCCTGGTGGTTAAAGCCTTCGCTTGTCACGCTGAAGGCACGGGTTGGATTCCCGACATAGGTACAATGTGTGAAGCCTATTTCTGGTGTCTATCACCCCGCCGTGATATTGCTGGAATATTGCTAAAAGCTGCATAAAACCCTTCTCGCTCACCGTGAGTGTATTGATAAATACAACGTACAACATATTGTCACTGTACTTACAGTTCTTGAAGTGTTGGTAAATCCGCAAAGGCATTGGAATATATTTTATCCAGTCTGTTATTGCTCAAGTCTCTGAAATAGACAAAGAATGACAGTTGTCCATATTGGTCCAAGACATATTTCAAAACGTGGCGGGGGCGGTCGGGTAGCTTAGTGGTTAAAGCGTTCGCTCGTCACGCCGACGACCCGGGTTCGAATCCCGACAATGTGTGAAGCCTATTTCTGGTGTCCTCCGCCGTGATATTGCTGGAATATTGCTAAAAGCGGCGTAAAACCAAACTCACTCACTGATCACCCATCCACATATCTGTGCACAAGTCGACACATGTCTTGGCTATTGCTAAAAGCTCATGACCCATTCACAGGATCTGTGCACAAGTCGAGACATGGCTGGGCTATTGCTAACAGCTGATCACCCATCCACATATCTGTGCACAAGTTGAGACATGGCTGGGCTATTGCTAACAGCTAACACCCATCCACATATCTGTGCACAAGTCGAGACATGGCTGGGCTATTGCTAACAGCTCATCACCCATTCACACATCTGTGCACAAGTCGAGACATGGTTGGGCTATTGCTAACAGCTGATCACCCATTGACATATATGTGCACAAGTCGAGACATGGCTGGGCTATTGCTAACAGCTCATCACCCATCCACATATCTGTGCACAAGTTGAGACATGGCTGGGCTATTGCTAACAGCTGACACCCATTCACACATCTGTGCACAAGTTGAGACATGGCTGGGCTATTGCTAACAGCTAACACCCATTCACAGGATCTGTGCACAAGTCGAGACATGGCTGGGCTATTGCTAACAGCTGATCACCCATCCACATATCTGTCCACAAGTTGAGACATGGCTGGGCTATTGCTCACAGCTGACACCCATTCACACATCTGTGCACAAGTTGAGATATGGCTGGGCTATTGCTAACAGCTGACACCCATTCACACATCTGTGCACAAGTTGAGACATGGCTGTGCTATTGCTAACAGCTCATGACCCATTCACAGGATCTGTGCACAAGTTGAGACATGGCTGGGCTATTGCTAACAGCTCATCGCCCATTCACAGGATCTGTGCACAAGTTGTGACATAGCAAGACTTAGTTAATACAGGCACACCTACATATTTTGGTCTTGAAAACAAACTTGCAAAATCTAGATATAGCGCAATCATGCGATTCAAGGATACAATGTTCTGTGTTATATATAACGGGAATACTATATAATCCTCATGTACCCTAACTATCATTACCAAAGCAGGTGGATTACATGTGTCTTTGTTAAAGAAGTGTTTCATTTCACCTAAATCTGAAGTTGACTCCACAGAAAGAACTGTCGACTGACAATGATAATGCATTCAGCCATGGCCCTGTGTTATCAAGTAGAGAACATTAGACTTGGGTTTGGAAAAAGAAATATGTTTATTCAGACAATTTGTTACAGTGAACTGAACGTCTAGAGGAATTATGTTGCTTTCTTTTTCTGGAGTTTGACACAGTAGTCAAATCTAGCTTTCAGTCACCTTTCAATCACATTTTGTACAGCATTGCAGATTTTGAATATTACCGACAAAGAATCGATACTGCCTCCGTGATCTTTAGATTGTAAAATCCACAAAAGACTTGTTTTGCTTGTTGTTTAACTTCACACAGCAATATATCAGAAGAATGAAAGCAGTCTATAAATATTCGACCAGACAATCCAGAAAGTGACATCTTGAGCATTGGTCAAATGGGATACGATGACATGCAAATCAAGTCACTGTTTCTGAATACAAGATCCATTTAGTCGCCCCTTATTACTAGCGTAGTTTGCTAAGGACCTGTTTTTTTAATCTTTATGAAATCTTTAGAAATGTATTCTGGAAGTTATCAGAAGCGTTCATATGAATGAGAGTTAGACTTTGTTGACATTTGAAAACCCAAGTTTAGTGCAAATATAACAACATAAAAATGGCGAGGATTTTCAGGAAGTCATTTGAATGTAGTATCGTAGCTAGTAACGTTTTGATAATGTATGTAATTTTTATTTATCAAGTCCTATTTTCAAGTGTATACTTCCTTTTGCCCCGCAGTCTATTAGCCATACTTTTTATACTTGGTCACATAAAAAATCAAATCAAATTTCATATCAGTAATAAAGTTTTCATGATCAATAGCTTTGAAATGCATCGTTTTCAGTGACAATTATCATTCCTTGTCCTTAAGGACCGCCTCCGTGGTCTAGTGGTAGAGCTTCCGCACGAAACTGTTTCGGTACATAATCAAGGTTGATTATTCTCTGGCGCTGACGTTTCTTATTCTGGCATTAAAAAAATATTCAAATGTCGTGCCACGAAACATTTATGTGCCCCGGGCTAAATTCGAGATATCATGATTTGTGAGTAAAAGATCATGTTTGTTATTGAGAAATATGATCGCCTCCGTGGGCAGAGGTAGAGCGTCCGCGAGAAAGCGAAAGGACCGAGGTTGGATCCCCGGCCGCGTCACACCAAAAGACGTTAAAAGGTGGTACTTGTTGGTACCCTGTCTGACGCTCGGCAATAAGGTGCTAAAACAAGGACTGGTCTGTTCGGAGTCAGTATACTGTGTCTGGGTGGGGTATTCATGTTAAACTGCGGCATTTTATCTCAGTGGGCTAGCACTATAAATCGGCATCAGTCCAGCCTAGTACAGCCGAGGCATCAGTCCAGCCGAGGAACCAAGCATAGCACTTTAGCTTCTCTGACAGTAATCATGTTAATAATGAAGACATTAAACTTGACGGCAGTTATTTGTGAATGATTTTATTAATAGAAGAACTGACGTGTGTAGTTAGCGTGTTATTTTTCATCCCTAATTTAATCTTCATCCCCCGCACAAAATTGAATTATTCCACTCACATGATGACGATGTGGTAAACATACGTGTGTGCGTGTGCGTGTGCGTGTGAGTGTGCGTGCTTGTCTTTTTCGAATACAAAATCTGTTCCCGAAATTGTTGGATAAATATAATTTGACACCAAACATAAATTTATATCTTCATACGGTGGAGGGGATATATGTAAATATGAAATGGATGGTCCCTTAGGCTGGTCGCAGTCCAGAATCTCGTCCATTAGCCGTCAAGAATCACCTCTCTTGTCATCATCCTTGGCCATTACCATCCAGACTTTCACCAAAGTGGTGAACGTGTACGACCTGTGTCACTTTGGGCTTTCATCACATGTTGAGCTGACACGAAGTTATGTTATTAACCTATTGCTAAAAGCACTTGCGTATGGGTGTCGTTGTTAGGCACGTTGAAGGGTATAATTGAGTATTTTAAGTCACAAGCAGATTTATGAAACAATCTCATTTCAGGGTCACCATTTACCATTGGCGCTTCAAGTAAGCCTGTCATTTCAATGTATATTTGGCGTGGGGGGAGGGCTCAAGGGGACATCGTATTGAGGAATGATTGAGTGAGTTGGGTTTAACGCCGCTTTCAACAGTATTCCAGTTATATCGCGGCGGTTCAGCTTAATGTGGGAGGAAAGGCGGAAGTGATGCAGGTCTCAGACGTTTAGCACTTTGGTGAAACCCACGAGCATCGTATTGAGGAAACGTTTACAGAACACTCTAATTATGGACCGGGCTGATAGCATTACTTATACACATAGATAATATATAGGGAAGAACTTGATTAGTGACGTCATGATTTCTCTCTCTACCTACTGTTTAGAATATAAATAACGGGCATTTTTTAAAATAGGCTTCTGTCTGCTTAACATATATAAATTAGTTTGATCTGAATAAAAACGCATTGAAGCACATATACCATTTATATAAATGAAAGGTTCTTGATTCATGTCAACTAAATTTTTCGCAGATGACCTATGGCCCCGTTCGAAAAGGCGATGTATGTTAAAGAAAGGGAGATACGATCGTCTTAATGCTACGATCGTTTTTGGAACGGGGCCGTGAGCGGGGCGACCCGTCAACACAACACTCGTCAGTACTTACAACGTGTCCAGATTTGTGAAGTTGAGGAAGTCGTCAGGAAGGAGAACCGTCAGTTTGTTTCCGGAAAGATTCCTGTAAACAAACGTAAATTACTGTGTATCACAATTCGCAATAGCTCTATAAATATTACTGACATTGTGATACTGAGGACGCGTGAGTCACTGTAAGCACCATCTCAGCAACGACAACACCGACAAGGCAATGCTAACAACACCATCTTACCAATGTAAGCATCGTCTCAGCAATGTTAACACCACCTCACCAATAGAGAGTCCCTTGACAGCACTGTCAGTACAACCCCAGCAATGTAAGCACCGTCTCAGCCATGACAACACCGACTCAACAATAGAGAGTCCCGTGTCATCAATGTCAGCACAACCCCAGCAATGTAAGCACCGTCTCAGCCATGACAACACTGACTCAACAATAGAGAGTCCCGTGTCTGCAATGTAAGCACCGTCTCAGCCATGACAACACCGACTCAACAATAGAGAGTCCTGTGTCAGCAATGTCACCACCGTGTCAGCCATGACAACACCGACTAAACAATAGAGAGTCCCGTGTCAGCAATGTCAGCACAACCCCAGCAATGTAAGCACCGTCTAAGCAATGACAACAACGTCTCAACAATAGAGAGTCCCGTGTCAGCAATGTCAGCACAACCCCAGCAATGTAAGCACGGTCTCAGCCATAACAACACCGACTCAACAATAAAGAGTCCCGTGTCAGCAATGTCAGCACAACCCCAGCAATGTAAGCACCGACTCAGCCATGACAACACCGACTCAACAATAGAGAGTCCCGTGTCAGCAATGTCAGCACAACCCCAGCAATGTAAGCACCGTCTCAGCCATGACAACAACACCTCAGCAATAGAGAGTCCCGTGTCAGCAATGTCAGCACAACCCCAGCAATGTAAGCACCGTCTAAGCCATGACAACAATGACTCAACAATAGAGACTCCCGTGTCGGCAATGTCAGCACAACCCCAGCAATGTAAGCACCGTCTGAGCCATGACAACAACAACTCAGCAATAGAGAGTCCCGTGTCTGCAATGTCAGCACAACCCCAGAAATGTAAGCACCGTCTCAGCCATGACAACACTGACTCAACAATAAAGAGTCCCGTGTCAGCAATGTCAGCACAACCCCAGCAATGTAAGCACCGTCTCAGCCATGACAACAACACCTCAGCAATAGAGAGTCCCGTGTCAGCAATGTCAGCACCGTGTCAGCCATGAAAACACCGACTCAACAATAGAGAGTCCCGTGTCAGCAATGTCAGCACAACCCCAGCAATGTAAGCACCGTCTCAGCCATGACAACAACACCTCAGCAATAGAGAGTCCCGTGTCAGCAATGTCAGCACAACCCCAGCAATGTAAGCACCGTCTCAGCCATGACAACACCGACTCAACAATAGAGAGTCCCGTGTCAGCAATGTCAGCACAACCCCAGCAATGTAAGCACCGTCTCAGCCATGACAACAACACCTCAGCAATAGAGAGTCCTGTGTCAGCAATGTCAGCACAATCCCAGCAATGTAAGCACCGTCTCAGCCATGACAACACCGACTCAACAATAGAGAGTCCCGTGTCAGCAATGTCAGCACAACCCCAGCAATGTAAGCACCGTCTGAGCCATGACAACACTGACTCAACAATAGAGAGTCCCGTGTCAGCAATGTCAGCACAACCCCAGCAATATAAGCACCGTCTCAGCCATGACAACACCGACTCAACAATAGAGTCCCGTGTCAGCAATGTCAGCACCGTCTCAGCCATGACAACACCGACTCAACAATAGAGAGTCCCGTGTCAGCACTGTCAGCACCGTCTCAGCCATGACAACACCGACACAACAATAGAGAGTTCCGTGTCAGCAATGTCAGCACAACCCCAGCAATGTAAGCACCGTCTCAGCCATGGCAACAACACCTCAGCAACAGAGAGTCCCGTGTCAGCAATGTCAGCACCGACTCAACAAAGATAACACCATGTCAGCATGTTTGTATCACCTCAGAAATAATAACACCTGTCTCAACAATGATGACCCGGACATAGCAATGACCCAGCAATGTAAGCACCGTCTCAGCAATGTTAACATCACCTCAGCAATATTAGCACCAAGTCAGTAATGTTTGTACCACCTCAATTCAATCTCAGCAATGATAACGCCGACCCTGCAATGACATCACTGATTTGTCAATAACAGCAATGTCTCAGCAATGTGAGCACCCCCTCAACAATGACAAAGCCACCTCATCAATGTTAACACCTTTTTCAATGACAAAAACCAGTTCATCAGAATCCCGTTATTCCAAGGGAGTCATTTGCATTGACAGTAACTGAGGCATTGTCGAGGGTTGTTTTACCAGCTGACAAATCCCCCCTGCACATTACAGTCATATTGTTGTACGTACAAGACATGTGGTCAATATTCACATCATATCAAGGGTTACTCCGAGTATGATTATACAGTTGATGTTTAGATTTATGGACATTGAGTAACAGCTGTTGAACCAGATATTATTGATCTTAGAAGTGGACATAAAGAAGTTTCGGCATGAATAATGATATATGGTAAAGTTTAAATGTCACGCTGCAAGACTCGGGAAAGGGCCAATACGCCTCAAATTGAATCTCTGAGCCAATAGAAAATCTGACATGCGATGCAGAAGTAACGCATGCAATAACTGGTATATGACACAGAAGCAATACAAAACATGGTAAAGGCACAGAAGAATTCCAAAACTAATATACGACACAGATGCTATACCATACACGACTCAGATGCAATACCGAAACTAGTATACGCGTCAGCTGCAATACCAAAACTGATATACGACAGAGATGCAATAATACAAAACTGGTATACGACACAGATGCTATACCATACACGACTCAGATGCAATACCAAAACTAGTATACGAGTCAGCTGCAATACCAAAACTAGTATACGACAGAGATGCAATAATACAAAACTAGTATACGCGTCAACTGCAATACCAAAACTGGTATACGACAGAGATGCAATAATACAAAACTAGTAAACGAGTCAGCTGCAATACCAAAACTGGTATTCGACAGAGATGTAATAATACAAAACTAGTATACGAGTCAGATGCTATACCATACACGACTTAGATGCAATACCAAAACGAGTATACGAGTCAGCTGCAATACCAAAACTGGTATACGACAGAGATGCAATAATACACAATTAGTATACGCGTCAGCTGCAATACCAAAACTGGTATAAACAGAGATGCAATTATACAAAACTAGTATACGCGTCAGCTGCAATACCAAAACTGGTATACGACAGAGATGCAATAATACAAAATTAGTATACGAGTCAGCTGCAATACCAAAACTGGTATACGACAGAGATGCAATAATACAAAACTGGTATACGAGTCAGATGCTATACCATACACGACTCAGATGCAATACCAAAACTAATATACGAGTCAGCTGCAATACCAAAACTGGTATACGACAGAGATGCAATAATACAAAACTAGTATACGCGTCAGCTGCAATACCAAAACTGGTATACGACAGAGATGCAATAATACAAAACTGGTATACGTGTCAGCTGCAATACCAAAACCGGTATACGACACAGAAGCAATACCAAAACTGGTATACGACACAGATGCTATACCATACACGACTCAGGTGCAATACCAAAACTAGTATACGCGTCAGCTGCAATACCAAAACTGGTATACGACAGAGATGCAATAATACAAAACTGGTATACGACATAGATGCTATACCATACACGACTCAGATGCAATACCAAAACTAGTATACGCGTCAGCTGCAATACCAAAACTGGTATACGACAGAGATGCAATAATACAAAACTAGTATACGACACAGATGCTATACCATACACGACTCAGATGCAATACCAAACTAGTATACGCGTCAGCTGCAATACCAAAACTGGTATACGACAGAGATACAATACCAAAACTGGTATACGACAGAGATGCAATAATACAAAACTAGTATACGACACAGAAGCAATACCAAAACTGGTATACGACACAGAAGCAATACTAAAACTAGTATACGACACAGATCCAGTAATACAAAACTGATTTACAACCCAGAAGCAATACCAAAACTGGTATACGACGAAAACGAAAACTAGTAATTCTTTCAGTTATTTAGAATTTGTTTGTACATGTTAAGAAAAACACACGCAGCATTTCAAGTCTGGCACAATCCTATCTCACATAAATTAAAGAGTAAACGAAGGTGTGTTGCTTCATGCTGGAGTGAGTGCATGGGTTTTTAACGCCGATTTGAACAGTATTCCAGTAATACCGCGGCGTGTTAACTTGATGTGGGAGGAAAGCCGAACGTGATGCAAGTCTTAGACGTTTACCACTTCGGTGAAAACCATGAACAACACCTGTGTGACGGCAGCGTGTAATAGATCAATCAGGGTCAGGCAAATCAGTGGTTGATAACATGAGCAAAGATGCACGAAGTCCAGGGTACCAAGACCCAACATAATCGGCCACATCACCCACGGTAGCCTCCAATCATAAGTCGGTTCCCAAGGGTGGTATAATAGGGACCTATTCTCCTCCGGAATCCCAAAGATCTGAAACATTTCACGCTTACTCAGTATTTACCTGCTGAAGTTTTTATCCATAAAAAAGCGTCATGTATTCATCGTATATTATACAACTTTTTGTAATGAAAATACCAAACCCGTTATCAATGTCAGCAGATACTACACTGTAAACAATGTGTTTTAAACGTAAACACAGACAGGACATGTATAGAACTATAAATGATCAGGAATGTGTTCATATACTAAACGGAATACACTTTTGGTGTGTTCTTTCTAAACGCATTTAGGTCTAAACACATAAAATGACCTATCGCCTCTTAGCCTAAACTCCATCTAAACACAACATGCACAGAACTTAAACATGTTTCGAGTATATAAATGTTTCAATAACGTGCATATTTTCAGGCAATAAATCGAGTGTGGATAAGATGTGTAATATACTGAACCGTAAAAGAAATGTCACCATGAATAGA